CTGACACACAACCCCCCATCCCGGTCATTACTTTCCCTGCTGTAGCAGTGGGAAGGGGAAGAATTCAAGACAACACTGCAATAATTAGATTCTACACCTGGAAAATTACAACAAATTTATAATATTTCTACATATAGAGTCTAATGGGAGGGGTGCCTTATATTCAGGGTCATCATGTATTTGAATAAATATGGAACTCACAGGCCTAAGTAGCATATGCATTTACATTCTTGAAGGATCAACACCTTAGTGTGTCAGAACATTAAGCCAAGTTGCTTACCAAAATAGAATTCTTCTGATCGACAATCCAGGCTGGCAATGCAATACCAAAGCTTGTAGCTGGAAAAGAAATCAAAGGTAAAAAAGTTAATTATATAATGGCAAAGGATTCTTTTAAAGTCAACAGGAGTTTTTAGTAATAGCCTGCATCTGCACTGGTATTCGGCATGGAAATTCTAACAAATTTAGCCAATTATAAAGAAAGATTAAGAACAAGTCTGCTCATGTATCCAGAGAGTTAATAAATTAAGAATTTTCATTTAATGTTTCCAAACTACTTGTAACTTGCACAATACAAATATGCATTATAACACTGGCCCTCAAACTGTGATGCGTCAAATGACAGGTTTGCTGCAGTCTGGTTGGTCATATTCCAACAGTTCCATTTATTGCTGCTGCTAAGGGTCCTAACAGCTGTTAATTTAATCATGGGATCTGATCTCAGATCCCAACAAATTATATATCCTGTCAAGCCAGATACTGCATTGAAACGCATGTGATTTTGGGGATCCAGGATCAGATCACATTGCACGTCTACTAGCATGACAAGAGCCCTATTTTGAGGGCTTGGTCCCTGATCCAAGGCTCCTCTTGCACCTAGACTTTTTAAATGCTTGCTGAGCAACCCAGCAACAGGGAACTGGTGGATCAGAACCAGATGAAGTTCAACATTGAGAAGTATAAAGCACTCTTTCTGGTAACAAACAGTCCCCAACATCCTTACAAGTTCGGTGGCACCAAACTGACTAGCACTGCAACTGAAAGGGACCTAGAGGTAATAATAGACCAGAGTATGAACATGAGCCGGCAGTGTGATGCTGTAGCCAGCAGGGCAAACAATACTCTGGCATGCATCAACCTATGCATCTCGAGCAAAACCAAGGAAGCGATTCCTCCACTTTACTCAGCATTGGTGAGACCACAGCTGGAGTACTGCATCCAGTTCTGGGCACTGCACTTCAACAAGGACGTGGAAAAGTTGAGACAGCCCAGAAGAGGCACCCATATGATCAGAGACTTGAAAGGCAAGCCATACAAGGAAAGGCTGAGGGACTTGGGTCTCTTCAGCCTAAAAAAAGAGAAGGCTGAAAGGGGACTTGGTAGCAGCTTATCGCTATATCAGGAGAATACATCAAGGGCTCAGCAAAAAACTGTTCAGCAGGGCACCCTTGGGGAAAACCAGGAGTAATGGCCACAAACTCCTAGAAGACCATTTCAGTCTTAACACTAGGAAAAACTTCTTCACAATTATGGTGTCCAGACTGTGGAATAAGCTCCCTCCAGAGGTGATGCAATCATCTACCCTGGAAATCTTCAAGAGGATATTGGACAGTCACCTCACTGGGATCACCTGACCCCAAGTTGTCTTTCCTGCCTAGTGCAGGGGGGCTGGACCTGATGATCTTGCAAGGTCCCTTCTAGTCCCTTACAATCTATGAATCTATGAACTGGTTCCCACATGCAGGGTTGAATTCAGCTTGCCAGCATGCCCCCACCATTAGATTTTATATGTGAAAAAGTTATAAATTTGTTATAATTTTCCAGGTGTAAAATCTAATTATTAGAGTGTTGTCTTGAATTCAGCTTACCATCATGCAGAAAACCCAGGCCCACAATCCCAGGTATGCTGTGTGCTAGTGTAGCTTGTCATTAGGGAACCAAGTACCTGATACTGGGCTGTACAGTGTGCTTTTCAAAGCACAGGGCCTGTGTTCCCTGCATGATGGCAATCTGAATTCAAGACAACACTCCAATAATTAGATTCTACACTTGGAAAATTATAACAAATTTATAATTTTTCCACATATAGAATCTAATTGGGGGGTGGGGAAATGGAGAGGGGGCGCGCTGGCAAGTTGTGTGCTAGTGGAGCTTGTCATCATGGAACCAGTTCCCTGACAGTGGGCTGCACAGTGTGCTTTTCAAAGGGACAAGGAGCACCACCTCGGAGCTGCCCCAGGGTCTGGGACATAGCTGACCCCCGAAAGGTGCACCATGCAGTCTAGCATCAGTCTGCACAGCAGGGCTTTAAATGTCACAGCAGCACTGGGAGCCCAAGGTCAAATGTTAGCTTCCCAATTTCAGGCTCCCTACATGCCCAGCATGTTCAAAGGGTATGCATACAGCTGGGCTGCCCAAAAGCACCAGGAGCCCTGGACTGAAGAGCCACTCCCTAATCTTAAATTTGTGCTCCGACATGCTCATGCCACATGCTCATATTAAAATGAGATACAAACCAGTTTTTGTGGCTGCTTTGTCATTTCATCACACCATAACTGCTTGAACATGTGGCATGTAGCAATTTATGGTCCAATTAACATATTAGCCATGCCATAAATGTAGTGTCTGCCAAGGGCCTACTGTTTGGCAGGTACATACACACTTAAATACCGTCCCAAGATTAATCTATCTAAACAACTGTCATAGCACCCACAGGTTTATGATCTGGGAGGTGATCTGGGAAACTGCAAACTGTCTATTAAGTTATGGTTCACAATATAAAATTGTTGGAGATACTCTAAATATTTTTGCACATTATGCAATTTTATGTCATAGTTTCATAGATTTAGGGTTGGAAGGGACCTAGTAGATCTTCTAGCCCGACCCCCCGCCAGGGCGGGAGAACAACAAAACCCCAAAACAAGAAACGGGACTCAAATGAGTCCAGCCAGGTAGGCATCCAGCCTCTTCTTAAAGACCCCCAGGGTAGGGGCCAGCACCACTTCCCTTGGAAGTTGGTTCCAGCTCCTAGCC